AATTTTGGAATAATTTGAGTTTATTAGATATTATTTGAATTATTAGCCAATTTTAAGGAATAATATATTTTTAGATTAATTATGTGAATTTTGGGCTCAATTTTATAAATATTTTATTTTTATATTTTAACATGGTTTAATTGTACTAATCTTTAATTCTGCTTAATTTGAATTATTATACTTTATTTGAGTTTTTGGTCATTTTATAGGAAAATTGCAATTGTTGAAAAAAATTAATTTTAAAATTTTTTATGAGACATGATTTATTTCAAACATAATTTACACTAACAAGTTTATTTTAACTTTTCAAGATTTGGAAGACATTGTTAAAGTTCATTAAGAATACTCTAGGTAAATCATAACAATGAAAAATCAAGAGAATTTACCTTTTCTTTTTTTTTTTCATTGGCTCTTTTTTTTTTTGTTCATTTCAATTTTGTTACAGGCATTGGATCATTTCCTCCAAAATACTTCTCCTCCTCTTACCATTACAAATTTACACAGCCGCCTCTTCCAATTTCGGGAGCTCTCTTCCTTTGGCCGCAACTTGTTCATCCAGAATGTATTTCTCTTCAAAACTCACCATCACTGTACAAAATCCACATTTTGCAATCCCCATTTATATCCATAGTGTAAATGAGCAAATTATCTGTAAATTTTAGATCCAAAAATATTATAGATTATAAACTTATTTATTATATAAATTATTCTTTTAACTTTTAAAAATAATACAATCCGACTTTATTGTTAACAAAAGTTAATTTTGACCGTTAGTTAACTAAAAAATGACATCAAAAATTTCATAAAAGACCAAAAAGTTAAAATAAATGATTCAAAAATTATAGACAAGAACCTAAACAATTATGGAAAATGACAACCAAAAAAGTTGAAGTCATTTTATACAATTTTTGAGATCCTTTTTTACTATTTTTTGATCAACTAATAATTAAAGTTAACTTTTGCTAACAATAAAAGCAAAATTGCACCATTTTCAAAAGTTCAAGGAATAATTTTTACAATAAATGAATTCAAAATCTATAAAACTATTGGAGTTAAAGTTTAGAAATAATTTATTCATTTACCCTATTTTATTTCCATTCCATTTCTAGTTTTATCCTACAGATATTACCATCTATGACATCTTCCCTTCTCCATTCATTCACAGCCACCTCTAGTACTCTTCCATTATTATCTTCACTCCACCCCACCTTTCGAAACTCCACTCCCAAACCATTATTTATTTATTATACTCCATCGCCATCTCCATTCATCATGGCCGTGGATTCTATGGTGAAAGGAGAAAGAGAGAAAATCATGAGAATTTGAGGTAGCTTGAAAGACAATTTGAGATGAACATGAAAAAAGTTAGGGTTTAGAATTTACACTTGAAGATGATGGAAGAGTAATTTTTTCATTTATCTTTTTAGTTCAAAAGCTTAGAATTATTTAGTTGTAAGTGATTTTAAGTTGTAATGTTTAAGGATAATCTAGTTCTAAGTTGTAAATATTTTAAATCTTGAATTGAATTGATATTTGAATTAAAGTTGTGTTGAATGAATTGTTAGAATTTATGTTCATCTAACGTTGCTTTGTCAATTACATTAATGATTGAGTTTTCATTATTAATTTAATTGTCATTGTAGTGTTTGTTGCGAATTTGAGTTATTTTTTTTTACCTTTTGATTGTTCAAATCTAATTGTTCAATTAAATAATTTAAACATATTTTTTAGAATTATTTTGAATTTATTATCTTTGGTTTTAATAGAATTAATCGGCCTAATTCATAATTATAACACTTTGTTCACTGTAAGTTTTCTGGTAGATTAAGTATTAGACTTTTGTGTTTATGGATTCCATTTGCTTTAATTAGATAATTAAATTCATTAATTTCAGTCTTATATCATTTCCTTTGATCTAACTTATTGAACTAGGTTAGGAAAGTTACTTCCATTAAAGTCCTAAGTTATTCATTTTACCACTATTGAATCAAACTTTTCTTAACTTCTTCTTGGTTAATTAACTCATTTTGTCACTTAATTAATTTCTTTGGTTGGAATTTTAATTTTCTTGAAATAAAACCCCCCAATCATAAATTAGGTAATTTTGATTTCAAAAATTGTATTTTCTCATTTGTATTATAGTGTAGACATTTGGCACTTAGTTTTAATTCTTTTTTTTTTTGCATTGGTTTTTGGATACTTAGATCCAAGTTAAAATAACTTATAAATTGCTCATTGAAAAAAATTATCTAAGATTAACTTTTATTATATTAAATTAATTTTAATTTATTTAAATGTTGACACGACTAAGTTATCATTCAATAACATAACTTTTGTTGATAAAATAAAAGTGCATCTTTTTTTTTTTTTGGTAATAACTTCATGTACTACACAAGATTCTAGGCTTGCTCTTTGCTACTTTCCCTATTTTTTGGCTTTTCTTTTAGTTAGATTACCCAAGAGTAAAATAACTTACATTTTTGTACAACACTTGGTTAGACTATAGTTTTGAATTCATATTATTAATTTTGACATGTAATTTAAGTGTTTGATTTTCTTTTTAACAAAACTATGGTTTACTTGATTTTTCAATTACTCTCCAAATCACTTTATTAATTAATTTAATAAATTAGTTATACCATATAACCTAATTAGTTATATTCAAATTAATTATTTCAATTAATTTTTTTCATAACCAATTTTAATTCATCCAACAGATATTTATGACAGGATCCAAACTACGCTTTCCGCTAAAAACATTAATGATTCAACTTTTCAAACTTACAAATCGTTTTCGCCATCTATCCTTTGCGTGCACAGAATAAGATGCAGCTTAATTGGCTTCCTTCATGATGGCATTTCTGAAAAGGTTTCATATTGGTGTTTCGTCTTTCGACTCTAATTTCCTCTCCTTGCCACTCAATTAAACCTCATTCGCATTTTCTTCTCATCCCAAACCTGCTTATCCTGAAGGGTAACAACAATTCCATAGAGCCATCACCATAATTTGATAATCTAATAAATAATATGATTAAATGACAAATTTGCCCTTAAATTATACATTCAAAAATGTCTGAGTTTTTAAATTTATTTTTTGTATAATATTCTCCTTCAACTTTTAAAAATAATATAATGTCTCTCTTACCATTAACAAATATTAACTTTAATTGTTGATTAAAAAAATTATTAAAAAACCCTAAAAATTAAAAAAATCTTGGCTATTTTCTTTAATTTTTAGGCTTTTTTTATTTTTTTATTAACTAACAGTCAAAATTAATTTTTATTAACGGTAATAGTGATATTATAATGTTTTTTAAAATTTAAAAAAATATTATATAAAAAAATAATTTAGTATTCCAACACAACTAAACCTGAAATTACTCTTTAGCCCCTAAATAATATTGATAGTCACTAAAGAATTAATATATATATACTTCTTCTATTTAAAAATATAAGATATTTTTTGAGAAGTTGAATGTTAAAAAATGTAAAACATTTTTGTCTTTTGAGGTGTAATTATTGTCTTTTTTTTTAAAGTGTCCATATTGATAAATGACTTTATATTTATTGTAGGATATTTAATAGGAGTAAACATAAAAAGATTGGGTTAATTTAAAAGTACGTAACTACTTTATTGAGAGTGATATTTAATTAAAAATATCTTATATTTTTTAACAGAAGAAGTATATATACTCCCAGTAAAAAGTATCTTCTTCTTGTTTGGCTTTTTCAATTTAAATAATTGAGTTTAATAGTTACTAGTCCCACCACAACTGCATTATCCAGCGGAATAATAGATCAAGATTTTTATAGAACACAAGCGTTTCTGGCTTCATCAATTATTTCGTTTATAAAATGTCTGATAAGTCATATTGTTCACAAATTGTTTAAAAGTGCATCTCTAATTTTTTTTTTTTAATTTCTCACAAGTATCCTCAGATTAAAACTAATCTTATTTGAGATACAATTGTACTTTAACTACGGGACACCTCTCCTTTAGAAAAGTGCATCTTATTTTTTAACTCCATATAATACACAAGATTCAAGCCTATTCTTTGCTACTTCCCCTATTTTTGGTTTTTTTTTTCTCCCCCTTCTTTTAGTTAGATTATCAAAGAATAAAATAACTTATATTTTTGTACAACATTATTTGATATCTGACAGTATTATTGAGTTAGAGTCAAACATTATCCATCCCAAATAAAATTAGCTATTCTAAAGATACATTTTACAGTCATACAAATTTAAATTCAAAACCATGTGTTTAAGTAGTTATAGACTTATACTCTTATATCCGTCTTCTATTAGGATTAATGCCTACTATTGGTATATTTAATTAATACTTGTTTGATACCAATTCAATCACAATCCAACTAATGAATGGTAAAATAGTATATCTCTAATAGTTTGGTGATTGGTTTCAAAGATAAAAAATACTCATTCTATTAAAAAATGTAAGGTATTTTTTGAGGAGTTGGATGTTTAAAAATATAAGATATTTTTAGTCTTTCGAGGTATAATCATTGCCTTTTTTTTAAAAGTGCACTATTAATAATGACTTTATATTTATTGTAGGATATTTAATAAAGATAAATATAAAAAATAAGATTAGTTTAAAAGTAGGTAACTACTTTATTAGAGTGTGAGATTCGATTAAAAATGCTTTATATTTTTAAATAGAGGGAGTATTAGTTTTGAATATTGAAGTGAAGCTCCCACCATATATTTTTTGAAGAAGTTCATGATATTTTTTTTTCATCCCCTAATAATATTAACATCAATTTTTATTACTCTTAAAGCAAGAGGTTGATATAATATTTTTCTATCTACCAAATTATTTATCCTTTTAAATTTTAATTCCAAATGAGTCTTACAAAATTGCCGGAAAATGACTTTGTTCATTAACTAATCAATTTGAGAAATGCATGTCTTTATCCCCCACTTCGGAAATTCAAAATGGAAATAATGAATAATAATTTAACATATGCGTCAAGAAAAAAGGTGGGAAATATTTCTAGTCTGCAATTAGAAGGCCGAAATGGCAATAATAATAATTTACATGGAGAAAATAAAAATTATAAAAATTGAAATGGGCAAAAAGTTAAATGAAGGAAACAATGAGAATAAGAGGAAGAAGAAGTGGAGAGATTGAAGTGTGGATAGAAGTGGAACGGCCAGTGGCCAAATTTGCAATCCAAGAAGAAGTTGCCATGGCTGCTTGCTGCACTGATTGTCCTGCGTCCACTCCTACCGATTTCAGACTGTAATAACAAAAAATTAAAAACAAAAAAAGGTTAAGTTGTCAATCAATTATAATTTAATCCCAAATTTTAACTTCTTGTCATTCAATATTTATAGTTTTAACTCAATTATTTTTGGCAAAAAAAATTAATTATAACTTAATATTTAAACTTTAACTTGGTATAATTTATTTCTTATAATTTTAACCATTTATTGGAGAGGACTATATGAAAAGCATAGGAATGGGTTGGGAGTATGGAAACTACTTGAACAAAATTACACCTAAACTCTACATAAGATATTTAATTATCAAAAGATGTCATAGAGTACACAAAATATTCTCAAGTTTTAAATTCTGTATATTTACAACTTAGCAAATGACATTTACAAATAGGCAGTAGACATTTATAACTTGTAAAGAAAAATAATAATTTATAATAACAAGTTATAAATACCCAATGGCCAATTATAAATTCCTTTTATCAAGTTGTAAATATATAAAATTTGTAATTTGAGAGTATTTTATATATTTCATAAGATCTCTTAATAACAAAATTTCCTCTGTGAGACTTAAATTTAATTTTCTGAATTTAAAATATAAAATATAAAAAATGAAGAATCACACTTAAAAACTAATCAAAAAAAAAATATTATTCACATGAACTAACATAAAATGGATTATTGTGGAAGATAAAAACTGTAGACTTATTTAAAAAAAATAAAATTTATTGTTAGTATCTCATCGACGGTTAATTTTATTGAATGTGGTTCTCTTTATTCTTTCTTTATTTTTTTTTTTTTAAAAGTGATGAACTGCAAAAATGGACCTTGGGGGAGAAGGAGGGCAAAATGTGATGGTATAGTCAGCTCCAACACAAGTAAAGGTACTTGTCGAATCATCGTAAGCGTAGCTATACGCTTTAGGACACGCAGATTTGAAAATCTCCGAATACATCGACGGCTTGCACGTCGACGGCGAACCGTATTCTCCGTTGCAGCAATATTCCGGTTTCCCAAAAGCGTCACAAGCACTCTTACAGGCGCCGCCGCCGCCTGCCTTCAACTCCGACGGGCACCGCCTGTTGAGATCTACCAGACAACCAGTGGTCGCACATGATCCTGACCCTCCATTCGCTTCCACCATCATCGGCAGATTGTAGCCATCCACGAGGCTCACGTCGTAGTAATCTTGCGAGCCGGCTGGATCGAGCGTGAACTCCGCTAGCGTCGCCGGAGGGGAAGCTCCGGCGCCATTGCAGTCGATACTGCCGGATCCGCAGTCGCCGGTGGCACATGTTCCGTGACCGGAATCGTCGAATCTGCAACTAGTTCTTGCCCAGAATCTACCGGACCAGCCAGCTGGAGCCTGGAAACTTCGAGAACTTCCCTTGGAGAGCTCGAATCCTGTGGTTCCCAGGTCAGGCTTTCCCAGTACTCCCGGCCATACTGTGTATTCACACTTGTTCACAAACGTAAATGTAGCCCCTGAAACTCCTGCAATATATACATATAAAAACAGAGCATGCTTTCGTTAATTCAACGCGATAACAGTCAATTCCTTTTCAATTTTGAAAGCCAGAAAGAAAGAAATAAATTCACCTTTGAGAACAAGAAAAAGAACGAGAACAATGACCATTTCTGAAGAATGTTGGTGAAGATCGGAGAACAGAGCCATGGTTACTGAGATTCAGCTGAACTTATCAGATATTTGAGTTGCTTTAATGGGGAATATTCTGAGGAATGAGAAGCTGAGAAATTCAGAAGATTCTTTGCTTTATGAAGGAGAAGTACACATAACACAGAATGAAGACTGAGTGAAGAGAAGGAGAAGAAGGAGAATGAGAATGAATGCGTGAGCTCATATAATATACATCGCTTTATATAAAGAGATGGCAGACAAGGTATGAAACGCGCCGAAGCTATCTCTTCATTGTAGGTTGAAGCCATGTAGGCAAGGTTGTCACACTCTCAACTTTAAGTAAACCCGTGATACAAACGTAAACCCCGGTTGCAAACTTATTGCAAAATTTTTTTTAATTATTCTCTCTCTTTAAAATTATAAAATATTTTTTGAGGAGTTAAATGTTAAAAAATATAAATTATTTTTAATTTTTTAAAGTGTAATCATTATATTTTTTAAAACTGCCCTTAGTAATAATGATTTTATATTTATTATAGGGCAATTAATAAGAGTAAATATGAAAAAATAAGATTAATTTAAAAATAGGTAAGAATTTTTTTGGGGGTGACATTTGATTAAAAATGCTTTATATTTTTGAATGAAGGGAGTAATAAATAACAATAAAAAATATATGATTATATAATTATGGTATAAAATATGAGCATAATTTAATTTAAATATGTTTTAAATATAAATTATTAAAATTAAATTCATCTACATGGATAGATTATCATAAAACATTAAAATTTTAAAATAAGGCAACTAATTTTGGTATTTTTTGTCTTTTTATTAATACTAGTTTTTGCTTTTAAAGTTTTTTTCCCTCTTTGAACTATGCCCTGTTATTTTTATGAACTAAATTCTAGATAGTATATACTTAACTCCCTCAACTTAGTAAAGAAAATCAATGAGCTGAACGAGTTTATTCTAGTTTATATTTAGTTTAAGTTTATGAATTAACTGACATAATTTTATAAGCTAGAAATATAATAACAATAAACTCATGAGTTCAACTAAATTTATATCTAATATAAGTTTATGAGTGAGCTAGCATGACTTTATGAGTTAAAAATGTAAAAATGTTAAACTCAAAGAATCAATTCAAAAGTTTAACAACTATATTTGTAATAAAATTAAACAACATATTTACGTGACCTTCTTTAGATTTCTTTGTTTTTAAAAATATATATATAGAAAGATAGAGAGAGATTAAAACATGTCAAGCGATATCATTAATATACAATATTGAATATATAGTAAGTAAAATGTAAGTCACACAATTTACAAATTACAAATAATATAATTTATTTTTTTAGATTTCATGAAATATAAAAAATGTAATGTAACTCATTAATATATTATAAAATATAAAATTTATAGTAAGTTATATTATTCTTATATAATGGAAAATTTAACTCATTCATGAGATTATTTATATCATAAATATGACATAATATATTATATATGGTCAAATAAGAAGTATGCAAAAAATAATTTGACATTTATTTTTGTTAGAATTGGTTTATTAATATATCAATATTTAATTACAAAATTTATAACAAGTCATTATTTAAGTTATGAAATTTATGGTTTCTTTGCATGAAAAAAATTATAATTGAAAATACGGGTCAAATCCCTTTTTCTTATGAGGAAGGGTTAGATAAGTTAAAATAAAAGAGAAAGAAAGAAATACAAATCAGATCCATTTAGCTACCCCTTTAAATCCATTTTCCCATTAAAATCCGATTTCCCATATTCTTACTTTTTCTTAATTTAGAAAAATGCTGACTTTAGATATCTGATCTAATCTGAATTTTAAAAAATATAAAGTGGTTTCTTTGGGGTTTGTTAAAAAATTTAGTGTGGCGCAGCCGTTTGTCCCCATGCAACTGTGGTTGACGTGGCAAAATAAGTTAATAGACCATTGTATTGCTAGTTGACAAAGGCATCTTCTAAACGACTTCATCATAAAGTAAGATTATATCTTCTCCTTCCAATCACATTTTTTTTTCCAAAAAGGAAAAACAAGATAATTTTAAATAAAATTTTGTATGAACGACATCCGAGTGATGACGCCAGATAATTAATTCACTGGTATTGTAACTGATGGTTAGTTACGAAAATTTCATAAATAAAATAATGGTAACATGTAATTGTTCGGGGGTCTTTGGGTTCTAGACATGAAGCATCGTACCCTTTTGTGACTGCTAGGCGTGCCAGATGATTTAGATCCTCAATATGAGATGTGTATCAAACGATTGTGAGTTCTCAAGATTCTTTACCAATTTTCTTAGAATGTCAAAGCTGATTGAAAAACTAAAGGTACACTAGGGAATGCACAATGTAAGATTGCAATACTGGGAAATAATTACAGTGGGTACTCTAATGTTCAGAACGAGAAGAAAAGTAAATAGTCTAGGATGTCTGAGCTCTAAGGATAAAACAGGTCACACTAGGTGTACTTGAGGTGATAGACACAAGGTCAGTCTAAGTTTGCACTAGGCAAATTGGTTTAGAGTTGATTTCTTGAGGTGTTCGAGAGATAGAGTTACGCTCTTGCTGCCTTTTATAGAAAAAGACAACGACATGCTCCTTCAAAGTTAAATTTTAGTGTTAGAAGGAGCAAATAACTATTCGTGCCATTTAAAGTATTGTTGGTGCTTCTTATCATAAAGTAGTTGCTAGACAAGTGCTTTACCTTCTTTGAGAAGTGGGAGAAGTGTGCAAAACTAGATTGCCATTACTCTAAAACACAACATTTCACTAAACCGCCCGCAAGGCTGGATGATCTTAGGCCATTCTTCCTTTATTCTAATTGGGCCTTGTCATCTGTGTCTCTAAGAGTGTTTAAAATTAATCCAAACCAATGATATCAAATCAAATCAAATTGAACCATGACATGAGCTGAATAAAATTAATTATAAATAATGTTTGGTTTGGTTTTTTTTTAGTAACCGATTGGTTCGATTCGGTTTAAGTTTTTGTTTTTATTTCTTAACACTTGAATCAAACAGAACCAAGCTTTATTATATTTATTTTATATATTTTTATAAATTTGTCTAATTTTTTTTCTCTTTCCTAAATTTAGTTATCTATAAATTGATAGTTAAAAATATGTTACAATTAGTGAAATATTATATATAATTTTTATGATAAGTTTTAAGGATATTTGTTTATAATTAGTTAAATATTGTCTACAATTAGAAAAAAAATGCTATTATATATATATATTTGACAATAAAAGGTCATTGTTATTAGTATTTTTCTGCAAATTAGAGTAACTAACTTTGTTATTAGTATTATATATATTTGATCAAGTGCCAATGAATTAAAATTATATAATTCAAAAAATACCTATAATTTCATCATCTTTTAATAATTAATAATTTGAAGACGCATATATAAGATCCTTTTGTTGTTAGTTTTTTCATGCTATTAAAAATATTTAAAGGAAAACAAAAAAAAATTCAGCTATACAAATGCACTCTACAAGAAAAAGAAATAACATACTCATACTTGGTGTAAGTTATAAAAACAAAAAAAATTAATACATGCATTGAAATTTAATTCAAACCTTAATCAACCAAAACAAACTGACTTTTCCAAAAACCGATCAGATTTTTGTGATAAGGAACCAGTTGTTTTGGTTCGATCTTATTTTTGTCCAAAACTAAACCAAACCAAGCCTATGAGCATCTCTATGTATCTCTCGGCCTTGGACATCAAATCTAGTTCAAACAATAATTAAAATTTGAATTTATATTTTAGATTTAAAATTTCATATTTAAAATTCTCAAGGAAGTATAAAAAAACATCAAATTCTAATTCTTTGTATTTATTTTAACCTTCATCGTATAGAAGAGAATGATTTTACACAAGGAAAAAAAAGGTAGAGAGAGCAAAAACAAGAGGGTGGGATAGGAAGCTGGAAGAAGGGTAAAAACAAGAGAAAGAGGAAGGTTGAGATTTAAAATAATTAAGATAAATTGTGCATTTTAAAATCTAAATAAAATTATATTGGAATAAAAAGTTTCGACATTAGTGCAAAATGTAGATTCAACGTCACTCTACTTCATTTTCTTGTAAATCTAAAGTAATGATAAACTCAGTGACAAGAATGCAGATATACGATTGTCTTCTCATGCTCCATTCATTATAAAATGAGCAAGGGGTTGAAAAAGGCGAAGGACACGTAAGTGTTCTTTTGCAAAAATTACTAGCTCATATTCTTTGTGATAATAAATAAGTTACTAACTTCATGATTTTAATAATAGAGCTATGAGGGCATATCGACATGTCGAGATAGGGAAGCATACATATGAGGTCAAACACTATATGGATCACACCAAAGGCAAGAGCACATTTATTTGTTTTATAAACCTAGTGGATTATGATATCTCTTTTACTTTGCTAATGTGTTCTTTTATAGAGTCGTATGCACTCAGAGTAAACCCAATAATGCAACTTGTATGTGAACAGACACATTTTCAACATCATCACTTAAGGCGTGATTGAATTTATCCAAGAACATGTTGGATTTGAGCTCTCTTTTTCTGTGAAAAAAAGCTCTATTGAAACCTATTATGAGTCTCACTAACTAAGGTGGATTAGATTAGGTCATGAGAAAGGTCATATGCAAGATTAATAGAAGCCATATGAGAGAGAAGAAAAGACAAATCTGTTTTTGCATATTCACATAACAAACTCGGTAAATCTATATTTGCATATTCTTCAACAATTGGATTGAACTAAAATTTAGTCAACAAGTTCAAAATTTCTAATTTGTTATTTTCAACAGTTAGATGGTTGATTCATTAGCCTGTGCAATAGTTAATCAGTTCTCCATTTTACCTCTGATTTGGGTGTTTTTTATCTTCTATTTCCTCTTTTGTAAGCTTATTGCTTAGTTTCTTTGATTGGTTATTTGCACTTGTTTGTGTATCTAATTCTTGTACCATGGTTTGATCAAAGCACAGCTTTTTTCATTGATCTAGATAACTCATGGTTTCTACCCTTGCATTGAGGGAATTTTCATGTTAATAATTTCTAGTGAAGCTAATACTCTGTAACAATAAATAAATTCCAAGTTAATAATTTCATAAGTACGTATTATATATTTATTGCTGAATTTTAATTCAATGCTAGGTTGTATATCGT